AAGCAGAAATAAAGAATATGGTTTTTATCAAGTTAAGAAATTATTAAGCTGGCTTTAATCACGTAACTAATGTTGTAAACTTGTAACTCAAGAAGCTGAGTAAGAAGAAAGATTTTTGTTTGAAATTAGTACACTTATAACAATTCCTGAAGTCTGAACATGGTACTTAACTAAGTGGTGATGGATTTGCTGTTGTAGTGCTTCTGCTAAAAACTCATCAGAATGAGTTTTAGGATTGATAAGCCTCTTTAATGGGCCCTCTTTCATGGACCCTGTTGTAGGTGCCAAAGTGCCTCTTCAGGTTCTCCTTGCCTAAACAGCCCTGTTTTAATCTTCATTTACAGGCAAAGCCTTACTATTGAAGAAACTAAAGGCCCTAGATATTTACTCTATAGCTGCATTAAAAGACACTAATTTCAAAGGTAAAATTCCAGATTGAAAATAATTTCCAATTAGTGCTGGTGCTGACATTCCTCTCCTTACAGAGCTTTTAAATATCTTATGGGTACACAATCATTCTGACTGTGCCTAAGTACCAATGCCAAATGCTTTAGAATAAAACACAAACCCGTGCAAAAAAAGATAAAGATTGTGTATTACTCTCTATACAGTGATGTGGTGTAAATAACATGCTCTCTTCTAGCAGGGACAGGGATCATGTACTGGCTGCCCTTTGTCAGAGACTTCAGTAACCTCAAATCGTTCTCATCTGTGAGAACAGTTGAACATCTTTCTCAACTGTGAAACCAGTTATTTTCTGCTGTTTGTTTTGTTGGTATTGTGTTCTGCTAATTCCATGATTCAATTGAGTATCTAAGAGAGACTACAAACATGTTCAGATAAGATGATATTACTTCTGTCTTCTCTGTTAGCTTAAGTAGTCAAACTGGTTTGCAAGGTATAAACATATGCAGCAAAAAACCATTTAATATTAATGAAATGTTAATGGCACAAAGAGAATGTCACATCAATTAAGTGCATGTATGTCCCAGGTAATGCCAAATAGATTTTTGAGACAGGACTTGCACCAATGCATAAAGAACATCTGCTTGAGATTAATACTTCTTTGGTCAGCTACCCCAACTACCCCAAAGATCTTTCCTTCACATGCTTATTGTGGGTTTTTTCCCCACAGAATGCATTATATTTTCCAATGTAACATTTGGGTACCAGATGTCTGCTTCCTTGCATTCACAGCAGGAGGTAAAACACATCTAACACTTACCAGGTCTGAGGCATTCCACATGCATTCTATGAACTCATCTGTACTTCAAGAAGGTAAAAAGACACAGAAAATACATGAGCTAAAGGACAATCACTGTCCTTTATTCCTCTATCTGGGAAAGAAACTCCTCAAGCAAAATTCAAAGAAAATATTCAAAATTAATTAAAAAGAAAGGCCTATATATAAAATATGAAAAAATAAGAAAAAAAGGACCTTTATGACCAAAAATACTCATAATCTCTAAGACTATGAGTATCTCTGAATACTGTGACTATCCAAAAAACAAAAAATACCCCATATAAAACATTTAATAGGCACAAAAAAGTAATTAGAACATAGAAGATATAAATTTCTTTCAAGTTTCGGGATATATGCTATTTTAGCTAGGATTGAGCAATGTTTCATGCCTATGGGCAAATGACTGTTTCTGTGAGAAGTGTCAGCTCTCCCTGCCCTTGGCCTGTTTGCCCAAGACCTACAGGGGATGCCACAAAGACAGGCACTGGAAGTCTGTAAAATCCTTATTTGTGCTACTACATCCTTAATTGTGCTGCATTGTTTGATGGAAAAATTTTTATTCTTCTCTAATGGCTGAATTATAACTTCACCCCAGACTGAGCTGGGCCATGCTGCAGTGCTGCTGAGCAGCAGAATCAATTAATAAACTCAGTGAAACAGTGAGCATAAATCTCTTCTTATAATATTGCAATTCCATAAGAGCTAGTAATTTTAGTATTACAGTCTGGATAGTGGTTTTTTTGTTTTGCCAATGAAATGAAAATCATACAGAGAAATTTGTACAACGTTGTTTTTTGTGAGACTTACTCTCTGTCGTGGTCACAGCCATTTGTAATAGTTGAAGACTGAGAGTGCAAAGTGTCAAAATACTAAGACAAGCACATATATCACACTGATAGCCAGGTGTCCTAAACTGAACTTAGATTTTGCTGTTTTTACTGGCATTTCAGGTTCCACTCTGTAAATCTTGTTACAGTCCTGTAAATATTTGACTGCAACTTTATGGACGAGGTTCTGGTGCTCAGGTTGATGATAAGGCCTGACCCTGGTTAGGCACCTTGGGAACACCAGGGCAAGAAAGAGCCCAAAATGTTGGGCAGAGAGAGGAGGAGGGAACAAAAGGAGAGAAACAAAAGAGGTAACTCCAAGGCTGGAGGAGCAGGCACTCCATGCTGGAGGTGATGACCGCAGCCCATGGAAGACCCCTGCTGGAGCAGGTGATGTTCCTGAAGGAGCTGCAGCCTGTGGAGTCCTTAAAATGGAGCAGGGTGGAACTGGGAAAGGAAGGAGCAGCAGAGAGAAATGTCTATGCACTAACCACTCTCCACCCCTACTTGTACTGCTTGATGGGAGGTAGAGGACTCTGGAGTAGGGGATGAAGGTAAATTTGGGATAGGGAGGCGTAATGGTGTGGCTTTAATGTTTTGGTTTTGTTTCTTACAACACAAATCTATTCTAAATGGCAATAAATTAAATCAATTATCCTCAAGTTGAGTTTGCATTTTCTGTGAAAGTAATTGGCCTGTAATGTCCCTGCCTTATCTCAAGCCATGAGCTTTCTCATCCTATTTTCCTACCCTATCTTTCTGAGTGAGGCAGAGAGAGCGAGCAGCTGGGTGAGTGTCTGGCCTGTAGCTAACTCACCACATTTCATCTCTGAAGGTCAGACTGGCACAAAGATTCTTGGGTTTTTCATGCATTTTTAGATGAGAGATATTTGGTGATTTATAACTCTGTAATTGTGTGCAAGTGCATGTACACATAAGCAAATCCAATTTACTACATGTCTTCTATAAGGGAATCCAAAATGTACCTCTTTAGGAAAAGAGGTGTGAAAAACCCCAAACAAACCCAAACCAGTTCAGCCTTAGTATGATAAAGTCTGATTTCTTTTAACAGTGTCAGATATCAATATTAGTTTCTTTGAAATTTTAGACTTTTTCTTCTAAAAAGAAAATATTTACAGTGATGGGTCAGATAGTGCAATAAATATGCTACCAAAATATAATATAGGGTGGATAAAGCTGTGGATATACACTGTGGATAAAGCTGCAAAATAATGTTTGGATTCTGACACAAAGGAAGAAATCTTAGGAAGAGAAAAAGGGAAAGGAAAAACTACTACTTCTTTTGTTAGCTGCTTCCCACCTGTCACACTAAAAACTACATCTATGCACATGAAGGAAAGACAACACTGCATCAACTACACTTGTAACTTTCTGAAATCTTCTTAGCAGCATAGTTTCTGTATTAGAGCAGCTGAACTCACAAAGACATAGACATAAATAACTCCTCTTCAAGTTGTTTAGGTTAGAACATGACAACTGGCAAGTCATCAGAAAAGCAATAATAGATCTCCATTTCTATTTATAGTATTTACAGTACTTATGTGACATGGGCAAAAAGGCACTGAAAATAGGTGTTAGATATTATTCAAGTGGCACAAATCTACAACTCTGACTTGGGATATTGCTTAGCCATCCCTTTAAATGGAGAAAAATGTATTTCTATTCCTCCTAAGTAACACTATAAATAAAAGCCCTAGGAGAATGTATGTGCCAGCCTTTCTTGATGCCATTTCATTAGCCCCTCTTCTTCCTACAGGAAAAGGCTAGCTTTTTCTAAATTTTAAAAATTTGCTTATTCAAGAGTAGTCCTCTGACTTCATCATTTTACTCTCAATTTGCTGTCAATAACAAACAGCAGGCAAGTATAACATTACATGAGAACTAATGTTTGCTGTTAAGTAATAGCAATACCTCTAAGACCTCACTCTAATGATTAAAAATATCTAAGAATATCATTGCATTATATTTCAGATTAATTCCTGAGCAGTGGCAGCATCCCAAACTTATTGGAAAGGTAACTGAAATGTGTATCAATTATATTTTCTTAAAAATACGTCCTGGTTAATTACAAGCCTCACAAGAGAAGACAGAGAAATTGTAAACAACTACTTCCTCTGGTTTTTTATTTAACTACATTGTCATACTGCATACTGAAGTAATTGTCTTTCCCATGTGCTTTTTTTGTAAAAGATCTTTCAGTTTTCTCTATGTGAGCTTATGCAAAGACAGAGAAGGAGAAGTGGGGATGCCACATTCAGATTGCATTCGCTTTCTTACAAATCCTCCTTATCCTTATTACATATATCTGTTTGAGAACTGAAAGGGAGATATGCCAAAAGGCTGAATGGTTTGCTCAAATAGTGAATTAAATTCTCAAATTCAGCATAATAATACATACACTAATAGGTATTATAATAACACCTGGACCACACAGTGAAAAAACTGGAAATTTACTAAAACAGTTTTATATTTCAAATGAAATTGTTATGGTGAAATATTCTTTAAACTCAGAAAATTATCTTATACAATACCTAAACAAATACACAGTCCTGTGAATTAAAGCAATCATAAAATGAGTCACCTCCTGTAAGCACAATAAGAAAAAAAAATTTGAAAAGGCAATCTATCAAACAATAATGAAAACCTCTCAGATGATCCAGCTTCATATGAGAAACAGAATATTAGTGTCAATACAGACAACAACTGCATTGGCATTTTCTGCTTGTCAGATAAATCAGGACATTTTGCAGAAAACCAACATGGACAAAACAATGTCCACAGAAGCCTGAGCATGTAAATCCTTTCTCATTTAACTGGTACTCTGCAAAGGCAGAGTGACTTGACAAAATCAGAATATGTTATTTCAAAGAAACCATCAACTAATGGATTAGATTTCCTTGAGTACCTACCAAAAGCTGTCCAGCGAAACAGATAAACAAAATGAAGGAAAGAAAGAGAAATGCAGCCCCAAATGAAATTCCAAGAATAGATGTTCTAGAAGAAAAGGAAAACAGGTATTAATTTTTTGGTTACACATTTGTAACATGATATTTCTTTGTCTATAATACTGATGATATGAAAATGTACTATGTGCAAGTTGCAACTTCCAAACATCAATACCATAGAAAACCAACTCAAACCCTCACCTGAATGGCAGACATTTCCCCTGCCATTTTCTCAATTCAGGAATGATTGAAGTAAATTACCTCTGACTTGCAAAGTTATGACCATGAGAAGCTAATAATTTCCACATAAAGACAGAGTACATTAAGAGAAGCAATGATTTCTTTTGTTTAAACTTTAGGAAGCTTGTATTAAACAAGATCCTTGTTGCTTTAGTTTTTTGTTGTTGATTTTATAATAATATAATACTCTAATAGATACATAAAATAAACATGCTGGTGGTGTACATTCACCCCTAAAAGGCAGAAAACTGCACAGGGCAGTGATGTCCATTTTCAGCAGAAGCTGCAATATCTGTGATGCTGATCAACCTTACTCAGTGCTACTGTTCATCCTTTTCTTCTGTGTTATAGGACAGTCTAAATAGGAAGGTCTAGCCAAAGCAGCATCCCTGGATACTCAGTAAATGGAGATTCAGTAACAATCTGTGCATTCTTTCATTCATTCCTTTATTCATTCATCCTGCAAACAAGGAAATCTCTCTATAGGAATACCACAGCAGAGCATAATTGCTCCATCAGGCACCATGTGAGAGCTTGTCAGCACATCTGCCTAGGGAAAGATCCAGTGCAACCTAATTATGTTTAATGAATGCTAAGAGAAGATCAGAAACTCTGGATGAATGGAGTTGTTTAAGCATGGGAGCTAGATGCAGTCATGAAGTCCCTCACTTCAGTACTTGTTTTCATATTTAACCCCAGATTTGACACTTTCACAGATTTAAAAAATATTTCTCAACTCCTTTGAGCCTCAGCACACATCTTACTTTATCAGTTATTATATGCCAGAAATATTAAGAAACATTGTGATCTGTTTTAACAACAGTGTTATAAAAATTATTTTCAGGAAAGAACAAAAAAGTGTTAACATCGCTAACCAATCTGATGCCATTAAAAGCATTTTGAAGAGTGATTAATGAGTTTCCCTTCCAATCATTCAGAGAACTTGTTCTATATTAAGTATTAATCATCAGATTTTGGGTTGCATCAACACAGCTGATGAAAAACAAACGACTGGTAATTCATAACATATATTAATCATGAAATAATATTTCTTTAAAAAGTCATTTGAAGATCATTATTGTTTATGAATACACATTCTCCAAGATCTTCTTATTGAGACTGAGACAGTAAGCTGTACATCAGAGTATTAAAACTAGTTTGTACTCTTAGAAATTAAAATCTAATAAGCAACAGAAGAGATGAAAGAAAAGGAAAAAAAAAACCAAACCAACTAGGAAACTAAAACCAGAGCCAGTTAGGAAAGAAACAGGCTTATTTTTTACATATGCATACACACTTCCAATCATATATGTCCTTAATTAACATTCAATGAACCCTTCCTACAGTTCAATATATAACTATTCTTTCTCTGATATGAAGAATACAAGAAAGGGGTCTCCACATCTTAAGAAATTACTCAACAAAGGAATAGCCTTATCAGTCAAGTTTGGAGTGCATCCTTTTAGCAGAAGAAATGAAGATGTTTGAGAAACTGGAGAGCAAGGGAAATAAAATTAACATGGCATAAAGAGAGCTTATGCAAAGAGTACTTAATCTCCCGGGCAACAGGCAAGAACAAAAGGTCTTTGTAGCAGGTTCATATAATCAATGATGTTATTGAGGGAGCACAAGAATTACACAGCAAGGTGAACAGGATGAAGAGAAAAAGACTTAGGGTAATAAAAAGTGGTGTCTTAGAATCCAGTTTTGAGTAGTGAAAACAGAGAAACAAACCTGTAGGATTTTTGCTCCCCACACCCCCTTCTTTTCTGGGAACAGCAAGACTTCTGTTTCACTTAAGCTAAGACAAAATAGTTTCATGCTGCTCCTAGAAGAAGTGGGCTGAAAATGCTACAAGGGGAAGCAAAATGCTAAAAATTATGTGCCACCATAAACAAGTCTCATTTGAGGCAATGACCATAGGAAAGACATAATATAGTTTCTTTTTTGTCACTGAAACCTTATAAAACCAGTACAGGTCTTTACAGTGAACTAACCTTGCTTTTGTTTTGTAGAGCTACCAAATGCATCACATTGACAGATTAGGGCAAAATATTTAGTCAGAGGAACACCTGAAATTGCATAAGCCAGGTAAGTTTTAACCTGCCTCTTCTATGCTTCAAGGAATGGCCTCATTCTGCTCTCTCCTACAGTCCCCCACCAGAAACACAAACAGGACAGCCTTTGACCATAAGCTACAGAGAGACAGTTTAAAAGTGAGGAAACAATATGAGAACTTTTCAAGCTTCAGGTAGTTCCATGTCTAAATAATTTATGATCTTAGCTAAATTTACATTTTTCTGGTTTCATTAGGAAATATCTGATTTGGACAATTAATTTTTATCAGTGGTACGAGATTGGAAAAAAATATATTTATTTATATTTCGTTGGTAACTATTTAACTGAAAACCAGAAATTTATTCGTGAAGATAAAGATACTGAAAAATTCAGAAAATAATGTGTTTTTTCTACAATTTTGTAACTTTTACAAAAAGTTTTTAACTTTTAGGGAAATATGTGGCTTTTGGCACATGTCCTTCAATGCAGAGAATTTCTTTAGCTTGTAGATAATTATTATCCAGGTTCTGAACTGCAAATTCTCTTGAGGTGATAAAATCACAATGAAGCCACTGCAACTGACAATTATACAAGCCAATATTGAATTCAGACTTTTTTGATATTTAATAGTAGCTATTTATTTCTTAAAGGAATTGATACTTTCACTAAGCCATCAAAAGATTCAATAGCTATGGAGACTGTGTGGCAGTTTCCATGTTCAAATAGTATCAGTTCAGTTTTATAATTCTACTTGGGTGTTTGTTTGATTTATTATAGCAGAAAAATAGCTAATAATAATAATTTCCATGCCTGCTTATAACATCTTATATTTTCCATGCCTGCTTTCGGACAAAATTTCTAAGTACTACCTCTCCTATGAAGAAATTCAGTTGTGCCTGATCAAAAATATTATGTGCAGGCCTCCTGACTGTGACTGTTAGTTTGGCATGACTCAGGAAAAAAGGACACAGTTTCTTGAACACAGTGGCCTCAGAAAGTGAAGACTTGTGAAGAATCTTAAATGTAGCCTAAATACAACCCCTAACTTGAATACTACAGAAGTATCTCCTATTCAATAGAAATATACTTTCATCAGTTCACCAGTCTGTATTTCGAAAAAAACAACACTTCCAATTCTATGCTAGTATCAATTCTGTTTGCTTAAATAAAGAGTGTAGGGTTGCTGTGAATTAAGACATACTTTTCTCACTTGGGAAACCAAGAATTCTAGAGAGTTACTGCAGGCCTGTTCCAAGGAAATGTAATGATAAAGATTCGCTTTCATTTAATGCCAATGAAGACCTACTCCTCATCATACATTTCACCCCAAGAAGACAATAATATTCTTGATTAAATTTATGATTACCACTTGTTGTAAAGCTTATTAATAAAACACCACATCACTTTACTAACCCAAATAAAATTAAAACATTAATATATTTTTTCAGCCTTGAAAAAATGTCTGGTGATCTTGAAGAAATGACTTAGTACTTGCAACTTGCTGGATGTTATCCATTATCACATATCTCCAAATCTACTTTTAAGCAGCAGGCTGTGTGCCTGCCCAGAAATCAATGATATTACACTACTGAAAAACCAGATTAATGGAATAGTGAATCAATAAAACACAGTGACAGATTTAGTTTGTCTCCCTGTCTTCATTAGACCTCCATTTAAAAATACTGGAGAACTTTTGGAAGAAAACAAAAAGGGTAGATAGAATTTTAGTAGGAAATAATATTTCAGCATCAGAGTATGTTCAATTTAAGTTGCATTTGTGATGACTACATACACTGGTGTTTTTTCAGCTTTTGTTGTTGTTTGTGTTGTTGTTTTTTAACTTGCAATGCTCCCAATTTTCCAGAAAAGATGCAGGTCCCTGTTTAATACCTTGCCTCTCTGTCTTCCATTTTTGCATCCATCAAAATAATCCACAGACCACCTGAAGCTGAATACCATTCATGTATTTGTAATACTTGATTTTCCAATTTTGCTTTTACAATTTAATATGCAGCCCTATAAAAGGATCATAAGACACTTAACACTTTGGTAATGAAAATGACAAAGCATTTATAAATGTCTTTTGCTCTGATGCTAGAAATACCAGAAATACCAGGAAGTTGGAGGATATTTTCCTTAGCTGAACACAGCTTCCTAGAATTCACTGATATTGTGATCTATTTTAATGAGACATTTCTTTAAGCAACATAGTAAGGATAGAGCAAGATGAATGTCTGACCACATCTAAGATTGATGATAAATCTAGATTAATTTTCATTACTAAAATCAAAAACAAAACATCATATTGCTGGCTGGGAGCAGTTAGATCCACTTTTGGCTTTTGGGATGTGGCAAAACATGAGTTTTCCTGAATTAATTCTTCTACTAATCAAAATACAGTATGAGCTTGTAAAATAAAATTTACCACATCTTAATTTCATATTTTCAATAATGAACAAAGTCACACTCAAACATGTGCAGGATACTGCTGAATTCTTGGAAGAGTGTCCCTTGCTTTGTGCCTCCATTTGAGAAATTTGCTGGGAAACTGCTGCAGTAGCATCTGAATAGAAGTCCATAAAACTTTATACATGCTACAAGTCTGCAGCATGGAAAGTCAATTTATAATTTCCTAACACTTCCTTTTGGATATGAATTAAAATGTGAGTAAATACTACAGAACAAGACGAATCACTCAACTGTGGTTATAAATAATAATCTTGAAAAACTCTACAGGAGAAAGGACTATGAGTTAAGAATTACTATATGACAGGGAATATGAAGTGTTTGCTTTAGAAACAACTGCTATAAAACAAAAACCAACTTTTCACTGTGTAAACAATCAAACACAAAATTTAATTTTAAGAAGTCTAATAAAACATCCTATATTGGAATTGTCTTCCAGTTTTCAGCCTTTGTAGAATAAGCAAAAATATAAATCATATCATAATATATAAATTCTGATAAAAATATTTATTCCAGAACAGCATTTTAATATTCTAAAATTAATTTTATGAATAAACACTTTACAGTTATTAATGCTCAGTTTTCATTCTTAGTATAGCAGTATTGTCATAGTGATACATTAAATACATTTATTTACCACAGTTCCAACTCTGCAATCCATTTCGTCTCACTCCAATGCCCAACTGTCACATTTATTTTTAAATGCAAATAGAAAAACTAAAAGGAATGAAAACTTTTTATTAATGTTTGGTATAACACTATTGACAATGTTTAAAATTAGAAACAAGCCTAACTTTGAAAATTGGTTGAAATCCCTGGATTTTTCTGTTCAATTGAATTTCCATGAATTGACATCTGTAAACTAACAATTCCCAATTTTTTTACTTATATTTTTTTTTTTACAGTAATTAGCAGATATACATAGGAGCTAGTACACATTAAATATCACTTACTTTGGCAATACCAGAATCTGTACAACAAAAATGCAGAAGAATATAAGACAGGCACAAGTCACATAATACTTGAATGCAGGCAGAGTAGTTGCTCGATACTAGAAGAAAATATAAGCAAATGTTAAAAACACAATTGCCAAAGCAGATAAAATAGCATCCAACTGAATTTCCAGCTTAAAGATGCACATATGTATAGGCAGTTTTTAGCAACAGTAAATTTCCTGTTCTTCAGTGACTTCGCATCCACTCACACAGGGCTAGGGATTATAAGACATAGTATTGATACTTTTGCTTACTGAAGAACAGTCATGTCAAATGTTTTTTTCTTGTTCCTCCACTGAACAGACTATCCCAAACTCATTATAAAAAGTTTAATTAATAAAAAAATTCCCCTACCAAAAAAAAAAAAAAAAAAAAGAAGCCCCACTAAAAAGAAAAAGTAAAAGCATGAGTTAAAATATTTTTAGGAATGGCCAGGCATTCTTCAAGGATTCCAAAATTATTTTTTGATTAATTCCTCAAACTGATTTTCAGTTATTGATAAATACTGAATGCTCTGAAACAGTTACAAAAAATGCAATATTAATGGAGACAGGAAACTTCTGAACACAAAAAGTAGCAAAGTATAAGCTGTGCTACAGAGCATAGCTAGGAAGCACAGTGATATTTACTGAACCTATATTATTACTTCAATTAAAATATTTTATGTCTTTGTTAAAAGGCCTCATATGTCCACTACTAACATTATGTTACTACTAAACACTTGATACTCTTAGGAGAGAGTCAATTTGATCTGTTTTGTCATGAGAAAAGTCTATCTCTAATTAGTCTGTATAGAGACATGAGAATTAAGCAATGAAATATTTATCAGAGTTGCTCTGCTATTTGAGATAGATATATCTAGGTTGAAACCAATTAAGTACTCAAAGGGATATGATCTAAGTAGCTATTAAAGTTACTTACTCTATCCTAGCTTTTTGGGTTTTTTTTTTTTCCAAAGGATAAAAGTTCAAGATTTAATTACTAAAAAAAAAAACCCCAGAGATTATTTTCACAAAGTGTTGGATGTACAAACTTCAGAAAATGGAAAGTGCATGAGCTGTGCCTTCCAACTGCAAGCACACAGCTGCGTCTCTGTGCTTAATGCCAAGTTCTGCCTATGAAACCAGTGCACCAAACTTTACATGAATATGCAGAAACTCACTTTGGCAACACAACAGCTTTTTTTACTTTTGAATTGTATGACAAATTAAAAGCACTTCTTATCACTTATCTGACTGAATTACAGGGCACAAATATGTCTTTGCTCAATGGGTACCTTGCAGCAAGTTCTGCTCTTCCACCCATCGAATATGTTTGTAGTGGTCCTGTTCAACAATTTTGAACCTTGAGCTGCTAAAATTTCACAGAATTCCAATCTACTTTTAAATTTGTTTCAGTGTTTCACACTTCTCTAGGCATTTCTTAATGAAGGCAGGCTGCTCACTACTTAGGTTAAACAATTATTTTGATTTATTATCTTTCTGTACTTTCAGGTCCCATAGGGCCAGAAACGCTTCTGTTTAAATCAAAAGCAGACTCCTTACTAGGTTCTTTAAAACGAAGACTGGACTTGTGAGTCATTAAAAGGCGACAAAAATAGATATTAGAAAGCTGGATCCAAAAATAGCAATTAGCTCTTTGCTGCTCCACAGTATTCTACATCAAGATATTAGACTTCTACTGGAAGCATTGACTCAGCCAAATAACTTAGCTCCCAAATTTTCTCCCAAGTCATTGTTCAAAGTACACATAATGATGTATTTCTCTCAAGTTCTCTTTCAGAATTTATTGGTTACTAACAACCACATTAAAATCTCATGTGCTGCCAAACATGGCTTTGATCCAATCAGTGATCCCCCAAACACTAAGAATGAGACCACACCAGGTCTTGCTTATTTTTGTCTTAGGAAGTCATCAAAACAGGCTCAAGGCGCCTTGAAACCTTTTCTACCCTAATGCATTGCCAAGCAACACATATCTTTGTCAGATGGCCATAACAACTATTCTGCTGAGCTGTGAAAGAATCTGAAAATCATTTTGGATGCTTTGAACTGATAGATACCTGCAAAAATAACTACATATGTATTTAACCACCACAGGGGACACAGAGGATACTTGCTGGACAGTGTGAGTGCAGCATGGTAATATTTCCTCTAGCCCCTTCTCATCAAATTCACCAATTAACACAGCCAGTTGTGGTCCAACATACCTCTTACTTCTCCAAAGGAAAGCACAGCTTTCTGCTCATGAGAAAGCAGAAAGAGGCAACTGCCCAGTCATCCTGCTGAAGCTGTGTCAGTGCGTAGAAGCACACTCAAGGTCCACAGGGCCATAAAACAATGACTGACTTATTGAACTTATTGAAAATAACTTACTTCTTTTTCCAGAGTCTTATTATAGAAAAGAAGTGATATCCTTTGAATGTCTTCAGATTTAAGCCACTGCCTAGAAAAGAGAAGGAACATTATCACTGACATAGGAAGACAGTCCTGTCCTTTTCTATTACTGAAATGCAGCAAAAAAAGAAAATAAGCTGGAATTAAGCAAGTTCATGTGTATTGCAGTGTATATGGTGACTTTCACTGACAGTAAAAACGGAGACTGAAAATCCCCTCTCCTTTATGGCTTCTATTGCTAAAGTACACATGAAAAAAAAAGCTCAGATGAACTATTGTTTTTCTGTTGATCATGCCTAAGGAGAACGGATGGAGAGATTCATACGATGGAATTCTAACAGTGATATTCCACTCATGTCCAAAATACTGTAGTATATCCAGTGGACTGAAGAGGACCTGAGACAAAAATAGGCCTTGACAAGGTGCCTTTAGGAAGGGCACTGATAAAAACTGCAGGAGTAGTGGGTAGGTAAGTTGCACTTCACAAACTCCTATTGCAAATAAAAATATAACAAAACTTATTAAAAGAGGTGGAGGGCTTTTGTCTTTAAATGTTATGGTCTCTTGACCACAGTCCTAGAGAGGTAGATTTAGACCTTTTTACTGATTATAAAAACTTCTTCCCTGCTTTAACATGAGAAATAGCATAAATACTTTCATTTAAATGACAAACAATTTTAAACTAAGTGAATCTTGAAAAAAGCTTGACATAACTTTTACAAAAGGAGATGTTCTAATATGAAAGTCTACGTTTATTTCAACAGACACTCAAAAAGATATAGAATATTTAAATGTCAAGAGGGTTTGGCTGCTTGAACTTCAAAGGCACACCACAAATTTGAAAACAAAAAATTAATTAAACAGATTAATTCTGTGGACACGCAGTACTTGAGCTTGAACAATAGCACCAGCAATAACTTTAAATTAGGCTCTAAATTAGTAGTATAGCTAATACCTTCTAAATAAAAGGGAATGTCTCAACTAACAAACAGTCTGTAATGCAAATAAGTAGCAGCAGTGAACCACAGTGGAACATATCCTAAATTAAAGTCCTGGAGAACAGTAGTGGACAGAGTGGAGTGTAAGCTATTAGCTTTAATTTATGAAATGGAAAATATTTGTTTCCTTGCCTGGGAGACTGTCCCTGCTCCTCTGCAATTGGTTGTATTAAAAAAAGGGTCTGTAAACATATTCAGTTCTCAGAATGCTTAATTCAAATATATATTTCCCTTTTTGCTCTGCAGTGGTTCCCATCTATGTGTGATCACAGTCATGTTTCTGAGAAGAAAGAGAATTGGAAGACTGGTGTACATATAGCATGATTTTGTTTGGGTTCAGCTGTAATCTACTGGAGAAAACATTCAGTTTGCAGAATATTTTTGATAAACTGTGAAAAAGAAAATGAAAGATTTTTTCCATTTAGTTACAAAAATTAAACAGGAAGTAACCCTCTTCCCCAAATAGTTAACAAATTTCCTGTTTTTCCTTATGGTATCTGACAGATGGGTTGATTTAATTGCCATCAGCACACTGTTAAAAAGTTCTCTCTGCGATCTACTCCCAGGGGCTCAATTTGGTTACACACTTGATCGCATGTGAAGTCAGGAGCACCATTTAGAGCATGTGCTGCCTCACACTCCACATTACAAGCTCACGTTTTCAGAAGCTTTTAGCTCTTCTTAAAAGTTCAAAAAAAAACTGTACTGGTTTTACATAGCAGATGCTGAGAGGTCTGAGATGAGGGAAACAAATGAAGTGGAGACTGAGTACAGAGGAGGGAGCACAAAGTCACACACCTTTGGCACAGACATAAGGGCTAAAAAATTCTGCCTTCAGCCTGACTCCCTGATGAGTCTGAAAATTGCCAAAGTATTTGCAAGTACATGAGGACATGTCTTTTGGGAAACTAGGTACCAAACTTGGGCTTAAATTCTTTTGCAATTCCAGGAACAACACAGACAGACATCTGAATTCTGCCTGTATCCACAGAGGGCTGTGGTTTCATAGGGCTTGTACCAGTTGACAGTGTATAGCAAGGAATTATGCGCAGAACATAGCAGCACTGTCACATAAAGGAAGAAAAGAGCGAAGAGAGAATGTCCCTTTAACACAGCAACCTACTCACCAAAGAACAACTGGCTTTACTTTAGCCCCCTCTGTAGGTACATATCTAGCTAGCAGATGGCCATCCCTCCCTCTCATGTCCTCCAGGAGTTCCCTAAGCACCAAGGTTTGAGATAGCTTAGCTAGGGCTGCTCATCCCCAGCCTGTGCAGGACAGGAACTTGGAGCCAGGAGTGCTTTGTTCAAGATACAGGGAAAAGAAACCCATGGAGAAAGTGTGATGTTACACCCTAATGGCTAAAGGCACAGAAGCTCTTTGTTCTTCACTCACTCTTGTAATCATGTTTTTTAAATTTTCTTCATTTAGTCATAGATTTATTTGCCATATAATCCAAATGTTACACTTAAAAACATTTAGAAATGCCAGTTTTCTCATAAACTTTCTTAAACTTTATCCTTGATTCACAAAACCTTTTGTTTAGTTTCACAACCACTTGTTCACTCTAGCTAATGTTATTTTCATTTTACACATGAAAAATTGAGGCACAAAAATATGCACAAAAATAAAGAAAACAAAAATGTGATTGGTTTAGTGTCCTAAATGTATAAAATATTTTATTTACCTCTTTTGTATGCTTAGCCTTCACAGGTTGAAGTATTATTGAATTACCTTGACATTTGAGGAAATAGCACTTTTCATAACTTATACGTGAGTATTAATCAATTGAATCATAGCTTTTAAGAGATTTATTCAGCAAATCAATACAGAGCTAGGCAGAGAATCTTGTTTTGGAAGGTGACATTCAGACTTTCTGATATATAAGATAATTTCTTATCTTTCTGCAGCTTCCCACATAATTCACAAAATGCAATGAAACTTTTTCAGAAACTTTTTTAATCCCCAAGTTTCTCTGAATTTTATGTACTAATTAGATAAGACAGGGATTGCCTAAGATAAAAAACCATACAGTAATGTCACAACAATAAGACACAAAAAACCTGCCAAAGTTTATATAGCTGTTTTAAGCAAGTCTAGTATAATCACATGATCTACCTATCACATCACCTACCCTATTTCACTGTGTCCACTCTATGACCGATAAGTATCAACGCTCTTCTAAAATTACTGAAAAAAAATTCCTAAATCCATTTTCCTGAACTACCACTTAATAGGACTAAAAGGTGAAAAAAAACCCAAAACGTGACATATGAACATTTAATAATTAGATGTAATATTCAGCTGATTGAAATTCTGAGTAACAGAAGTGTGGGGGAAACATGTAATTCATCATAGTTATTGACCACATTTTTAAATGGCAAATTCCTTATTTCATCAGAGAAATATAAGCAGCTTGAACACTTATTTTGGAATGGGACTGATGTCTTTCTAAACTTATCTATTCACCAGGAAACAGAAAACATCATACTGCCTCCAGTTCTTCCTAGGACACAGAAAAAATATATGGCAGGTTGTCTTGTCCAGCAGTTCCAACACACCATCAAGATTAGCCTTCTGTAAGAAACCGACCAACTAATTGAGAGACATTAAACTATGGTTTTAGGGAAAGTTTCTAATCCTGAGGAATTGTTTCTGTGACAATTAGGAAGCATCAATTTTCACATCAGAATGATGTGAAAATCATTCTGAGCCAGTAATTTCTTGTGTCTTACTTCTCTGCCCCCAGGTAAGATAAATCTGTAGTGTCACTTCCATGAGTCTACAAATAGTTACAGAGCAAACTCCCTCTGTTAGGAACATCAAGAAAAGTTAATACCTTTGTCACACCATGATTCACAGGCACTGTCTTATCTCATATTGTAGAAAATGTTACTTTACAGCCTATCTTCAAAATGTGCAGGGCTTCCTACGCCAGTATTAGTAACATCTTTACTGTTTCAAGACTTGGTGTGCATGTGGGAGCAAAAAATATTAAACACTGCCCTCTGTTGCAGATTTATGTCAAAGTTGGAATGGACAAATACAACAAAGGATAGAGAACAAAGCCATACTTTTGGGCATTGATTCCATCAATGGCTTGGATCATCCTCTCATTCAGTTCTTCCTCAAATCTTCTTTTCTGTGATTTTGTTCTGAAATGAAAAATGTGGGAATTTATGTCAAAAAACAGCTATCATAAACTTGTGAGTTTATAATCAATTCTTGACATTTATACTGCAATAGCAACTATAGGCATCAGGCACAATGACCTTCATAATAAGCTCTTAAAAAAAAATTTTACTCCACAATTTCACTCACAAATATACATACACACTCACAAATCTAGAGCTTAGCTATTAGAGAGCGCTATAATACAAATGCAAGAAAATATTTCATTAATAACCAAGAGAGCTCAAGAAATTGTGGTCCAAGGAAAGTCTTCCACAGCATTATGAATGAATTAAAAATAATGGGAATATGCTCAAATTCATAAAGCATTCCTGTTTCTTGCCGGTTTCTTTTCTTAAAAACCTTGTCAGAATTGTATGATGACCACAATGTATTAGTGCACTGAGGCATATCCCCTACCAAAATCCTGCTGTCTTCTTTTTTTGGAAGTACTTTACTCTTTTTAATAAGAAAACTAAGCACTGACTGAAATTAGTTTCAAGTATAGATAATATTACTCTGTTTATGAGCCTTCTAACTCATCTGCAATAAAAAAAGCTTTTTTACTTTTGACTGGACTCAGCATGAACCCAACAGAGGGTCATCACAATGGGTTTACCTTTGCAAACATAAATTTCTGCAATCATCAATCCTTTCAGCAGCTGTGCTTTCCTTGAAAATTACATATCTCAAATATTGACAGGTGATGTCTGTATTTGAAAATTTAAATCCACTGCTAACTTAAAACCAGTGTTTTCTAAGAAGTCATTAGTCAGATCTGAAATTTGACTTCCCCCACAAAAATATTCTTGACCTACAAATTGAACCCAGTCGAACATGAATTTTCCTCAATATCAAGCTTTTGGGTTATTTCTCTAACACTGATAATCTATTTCAAGTTCCAAATTAATAGAGCATTTGTATTAGTGAACCTACCAAAACTTTAATAAACACAAGTGATTTCATGCCTATTCAATGCTAGTGAATTTTGGTAAGCAAAGTGCTTAAAACTCATTTTTCACAGAAACAATCTAAGAGAAATGCACAGACAGATGAGGAGACATTGTCCAACTACACTTAATCCTCTTAGCAGATCCTTAACATAAGACTGTTGTGTAATGCATAAGAGCTAAGACTTTCACAAACAGAAGCCTACAGTCAGGCTTCAAACCCCACATTTGCATATTCTAATAAGATACTGATTTTCAAAGTGCTTATGATCACTGAAGCTCTATCCTGTGAGAATGATTAATTAGCTTATCTAGAGTCCTACTTACATATCTCACTATGTCTCGCTATGGACACTAGACACTAGTAATGGGAGAAATTCCTTCCATGATATGGTATCCAAACCTTCTGAATCTATTCTGAAGTGGTGTTTAGAAACACAAAGCAAGAACACTTCAGAACTGCATTATTTCAAAATGCCACAGTCCAATGGTCTTTCACTGACTCATAGAAAGTCTTTGGACATACTGTCCAAATATAAATGTGAAGTTTTTGAATTAGACTCTTTTTATTAATACCATGCATGTTCCGTCAAAACTTGTTCACCTTCTGGAACTTAGCAATATTTTAGATAATTGCATAGTAACCAGAGACAATAACAATTCAAATTTTAGAAGGTTCATTTAAATGACTTTACAGTATTTATGATATCATCATCTTGCCCTAGTCATCAAGGTACAAAGCAACACCATGAAAACTTAAAGCTATTGTGATCTTGCAAATGTTTTGTGTAGCAGAAGCACTATAAAAGACCACAAAATACCTTCTGAATATCTACTACTGCTAACATACTAAAGGCTTTAAAATAATAAACCACAATACAAATACAAAGCAATTAAACAAATATACAAAATGTTTCTTTTAGTACATATTATCAGCTGTTGTAAGAAAAATTATTAACAGCCCTTTCCATCTTCCCTATTCTTACCCGTCTTTGGGCTTCGTTCCAGTTTTCCTGTATATAATTTTCTTCCAACTGGTAGAATACCTGGTTTGTAGTAGGTTACCAACACACCAACTCAGAATAAAGCTATTTGTTATCAGGAAGTGAATTTGCAATTCATAAGCAACAAGTCTGCCAAATCTGTTTCCACAGCTCTTCTTTATGTAAGAGGTATCAGCACTTACATAAAAAAGAGTCTGCATGAGCAATGGCCCTCAGTATTTGAAAGCATACCAATGTATATTTATTATATAGACTTTCTACAAATAAGTAATTTTTAAGATTGATTTACCTTTCTCTGCAACGCTGAAAATTATATTGCCCCATGGGAACATCCTAAAAACCAACCAAACAAACAAAAAGACCCCTATTAATTACAATAAACTTTAATAATATTAAGTTGCTTTTAAAACAGTGTTAAAAACAGGGTCAAGTAAGGAGAAAAGTTTCTAGTGTAAATATTTTTAGCATTCGATTAAAACTGTCTAAAAGAAAAATGTAACTAGAAGTGAAAATGGCGTGACCTGGCATAAAACTCATCTATCAGTATATAACCAGGATAAACTAATACAGCAGTCTGAATCCAAGAGTGTTTTCTTTACCACAAAGACTTCAATGCCATCACTGTTTGGATTTAACTCAAACTCTTGCCAGCTTCAGCAAAAAAACAGTTTTAAGTGTTTTTGGAAAAAACAGACCTGAGTGGCCAAATATAGACAATGGTCATTATTTTTTAATTAATAACAACAGCAGCCATCACAGCCACATTTATTTTGTGATTAATATTGATGGCTGGGTACTTCCTATAATGAACCTGTCACAATCCACATTCTGATGCACTATATTTATTATAAACAAGAATATGTCTCACCAGTACAGGAAAAAACCCTGAATGCCAATGTTGAAAACTATCAGAATTTACCCTCACGCATTCTCTTTTAAGAAGCAGAAGATAATGCAATGCACAAGCTGTAGATTTTCAGTATCTTACTGACAGCAGTACAACAGTGTTAGTAAAATTAAAAAGAAATCTGCTCAGTGTAAAAGGTGCAACATTGAAATACAGTACTCTAAAACTCAGGCCTTCAACCACAGCTAATGACTTGTAGGAGCACCTTCAAAAGGTAGATGTTACAGTGAGTATGGATTTGGTTCCTGGGGTACTGTGAATAAAGTCTACGCAAAGTATCACAGGGATTATTTTAACTTCACAGCCTTTGCTCCAGGTTTGGCCATTTTCCAAATGCAGAATGTAGCTAAACAGTCAATAAATCTCTAGGAATTTCTCCCTATTAAAGGATTTCCTTCCTAAAGGTGTTGCATTCTGGCTTTATGTTCAAAATATCTTTCCACAAGACGCAGAGCAGCACTGCAAATGCTGTGACTTGATGGGTCTGAGCTCAGGGGGTCAAATTTTGTACTTTATTAAGTGTGCCAGACTCCTTTGAATTCAGAGATGCACTTACAGGAAGATACGACTTTTTAGAACCTAATCCAAAACTGGAAAAGCTTCCAGCAAATTCGCCTCATTTATGCCCTGTACAACTACATGTATCTTCTTCCAGCAGAAATAGCCATTTATTTAGCAGTGAGCAGCTTTTCCCTTTCAAATATGGCTATATTGTACGAAATGACATAAGTAGGCCCCTACTGTTGTGCTTATCTTTCCGTTTTCAGTGGTCATGCTGTCCCTGTGGTGCAAGTGTGCAAATGGCTTGGCTGCTCCCCAGGATTCCAGGTACCGGGTCATGCGGACGGAAGCTCTCATTTTGGCTCCATCGAGAGTATGCCGAGGCCGAATGTGGTGCTGAGGGCTTCGCTTCTCTCCCTGGTTGACAAAGGACAAAAGGTGATGTCAGCCTTTGTGTTCACGACCTTTTGAAGCAGCAGTGCATCATCAAGCACCACAGATCTCCATGATTAGGGACTTATAAATAAAGAGATGCTAAGAACCTGCAATTCTTAATGATATTTCTGAGAAACATCAGAGACTTCTTTTTGAAGAGCGGGAAACATTTGCACTGCAAACATGATATATTTGTAGGTATCAGTAACAGTCCTGATCAATATCTTATTGAAGTGCATTATTCAATAAAGAGATTAGTGGTCCTGTTCAAAGACAAGTATGACTGGCCACAAAATAAAAGTACTACTAACCTTAGGATTGATTACAAAGTAAGTCTTAACATTATGCTCTTTCAGATATGGGTCCCTCACATCTCCGTCCCCATCTTCCACTTTGTAAGCTCCATTCAAATGTGCCAAGGTGACTGAGGTGATGTGAACACGACTGAAATAATATTTTAGAAGAAGGACAAAATCACAAATAATGATCAAAAGCATAATTTAAACCTTATCAACCTTTTTTGCTTGCTTTTGGATACACCTTTTATTTGCTGCGCTCTTCTTTTGCAGTCCTTCTAATCTAAATTTTAGAAGTTCTAATGGGAATAAATCTAAAGGTTTCCATCCTGAAAAAAAAATGCTCCTTAAATCACAGGAAATACTGAGTGCCTCAGTTTTGGTTGTGTTTTTTTTTTCCTCAAGACAGCACCTAAGAATTCGTCCAGGCATCTCCATGAAGGCTGATGGCTTAAGACAAAATGCCTATGCATTTTTCCATTACTGAAAAATCCATATGTCTGAAGGTTAACAGAGAAGACTCTTACCCTGGGACTCCCCCAGCTTCCATGTGATTGGCCAGGGTAACATCATGGGACCAGACATCGTACTGCCACTTCTGCAGCCCAATAACACCGCAGAGCACGTTCCCAGAGTGCACTCCCACGCGCATGTTAATGTCCACACCAGTCGCATCTCTCACCTTCCTGCGGTTGAGAATAAAGCCTCTCTTAATATACATAATAGGCGTTTGGCTTTCTTTTAATTTACCAGTCAAATTATGTGGATGGTACACCCCTGGGAGTGCTCAAGGCCAGGTTGGATGGGGCTCAGTGCAACCTGCTCTAGTGGGAGGTGTCCCTGACCATGGCAGGGGAGTTAAAACTAGATGGTCTTTAAGGACCATTCCAACCCAAAACATTCTATCATTTGATGATTCTATGAAAGTAGCAGTAACAACAGTAATAACATTTACCTCTTCTTAGCATTGCCTCCATTCTTTTAAATGCTATGATTATATATTATCTTTCCTATTATCTGTATTTGCAACAAATTGTAGAAATATTAATTTTCAAGTCTGCGTTTGAAATTCCTTCTTTTATATTCATCTGAAATTATTTGGGCGGGCTGCAATGAATAGTGGAAATGTTTAGTCTCATGGTAGAATCTAAGGACTGTTTTTGTTCTACATGCTGCTTTTGGAGGTCTGGAGCTGCTGTTATACACCTTTCTATCTAAAGATTCCGGTTTTCATATTGGAGACCTTCTCATATCTGCCATGTCTGAGAGGAAAGAAGAAAACCACAGGACCTCAGGATATTCCACAGGCTGGGGCTTGTACACTCTTTGGGGATATGGGCTCAGTGTCATTCAGGCTGTGGAGAACATAGGCGCAACAACCTTCCACATGCTTAGTGAGTGCTGCACCCTCTAGAACATTATACACCAAATGAAAAGCTACCCTCACTGTCCAGACCACACCTAAACCTTTGACCTTTCCAGTCACAGAGTTAATCAGAGAATCCCAGAATAATGAGGTTGGAAGAGACCTCTAAGATCAAGTCCAACCTATGCCCTAACACCACAACTAGACTATAGCAACAAGTGTCAAGTCCAGTCTTTTTTTAAACATATCCAGAGATAAGTTTAAGTATCTGTTCGCCCCATCCCTAATCTACACTTAAGATAGCAAATTATCTTTGCAGAAGCAGTTCTTCTGAATCACTGGTGGGTGACTGAGGTCAAATGACCAGAACATTTCCAGACATATGTCACATTGGTACCTAACCACATTTGTAAATAATAATAAAAGTAATTCAGATATCTACAGGCTTAGACAGCTCTAAGAAATGGGAAGATTATAACTCAACAGGATTTATGTATTTAAACTCCAATTGATGTGGACCCAAACCTAGCCAGTAATAAGGAATGTGCACACACACTTGGAGAAATCTGGGGTGCTAATGGAAGAAACAACTACAGAATAAGGAAACCAAATGGCTCCTGTATACAAGTTGGGTGCATAGTTCTAGCAACATCTTCAGTCTCAGTGATAAGAATCATCAGCTCTGTACCTTCCAAATTATTGAATTAATGAGACAGTTTTCTCTTTTTTTTTGAAAGGGAACATAGAACGCAAGAGGCCTAATTTGATATGGTAAATCCTGCATTTAAGCAGTAATTCTCAAGTGGTTTTTTTTTTCTGGGAAAGGAAAGTAACAGGACAATGACTGAAAGTATTTTAATTCCATCTGTCTCTCTCAAGTGTTTATTGGTATTTCTTTTCACATTGCCATTTTACACTGCTCTTGAGTAGCTGACACACTTGAAAATGAACTGCCTGTAAATGGTCTTTTTGTAAGCAGTTTGCAAATCACAAACACCACTTTGCTCTTCACAAGGTATATGACACAAGCCTAGCACTTTAGAAAAAAGTGTTTTAAAATACTGGGCAAAATGGAAGCGGACCATTTATCCTCTAGGGGTGCTTGTCAAAAGACTGCCCTTCCATAGTCTGTGGAATAAAGCAAGAGGCAAGCAGAATGAAGTCTGCTTTATAATAAGCTGTCAGGATTTAAGCAGGGGAGCAAGAGGACTAAATCTCTTATTCTGTCTCACAAATTAAAGAAACAACAGGAGACATTAAATTAGCAGTGTAACTCCAGACCAAATTAGGGTTTACCACTTCTTCTCTCCTGATCTCCTTGAACAATTGCCATGACAATGCAGGCACTGAATGCATTCAGGAATGTAGGCTATCATATCCCCAGAGGACGTCTGCATTACCTACAGAAGCCTATCTGAAACTTCCCACCATTATTTCATTTTCTGCTCCCCCTGTCTCTCTGGTTTCCTTCAGCACAGAACAATGCCCAGCCTGGCTGGGCAGACAAAATACCCATCAAGATTGTATTTTTCCTATTGCAATGTGAAATTTGAGTCTGAAAGCATTCTGCATTTTTCAGAGGTGTGGTTAGCTTTCAGGCAATTGTAGCAACTTTATTCCATACAAGCAAGTGTATAGGTCATCAGGAAAACATTTACATGCTTTACCTGAGCTTTATTGATCTATAATTCTGGACCAAGGTATCTAAGACTTACCTAGCTCTTTCTTACACACTTTAACACATTGAGCTTTGAGCATTTAATTCCCTTCAAATATCCAGTTTTAACAGCATAGTTTCCTTTTGGATCAGACCTGCAGGAATCAAATCACACCTAAAAGAATTCTTTTATTTTGTATCTAGTATTAAAAATGGTATAACCATCTTATATCCAACAGTATCTTTCACTTTCCTCTGAAATGGAATTTGTTTCATGCTATCAAATCAAAGGAAGTCTTTGAGAATGTGTGACTGAGAAACATGCAAATAAGGAAGTCACCAGAAAGATGAGGGGTAGAGTTGGAGCTGAATGGAAACAACACATATATTCCCACACAAAAATATTTTGCCTTAACAGATAATCTCTGTCCTTAAAGCACCCAGTTAAGGTGGCCAGCTCTCAGCATCACAGGCAGCACTGGCATTTCTGGCTTGATAAAGTGAGCATCCCACTCCTGGGCAAGCAGGCTGCAGACTATAAGAAACATTGGATTTATTCCAACATAGAGCAGAGAAGCAAAGCAATTAATCAATGGGACTACAATCCAAGTTTTCATGGGAACAATCCATAGCATAGGAAAGCTGAATTGCTCAAAATGGAGCTACAAAACATTAGGTAAGAAGACATAATAAGATTTTGTAGTACAGATCACCTGGCAATTTGGCAGAATTCTTCCTTTTTTGCTTCAAAGAGAACTGGAACTAAAACTATATTCAGGTAGTAAAATCTATACAGAACTGCTAATATAAGTAGCAAATTACTTTATTTCAGTAGCTTACACACCGAGGGGGCAGTTTGCACCTCAGTGACTGAATATAACAATAATTTTTATCTGACAAAAAAGATATTTCAGATAGAGAAAGTCAAACATATTGAGTGACACACTGCCAATAGAAAGAGTATTACTGCTTCTCATTTTACAGGGCACAGAAGTATGTCAGGAGATGCTTCCATACATGGATGCAGCAATAAGACGACAAAATATGGAGCTGGTTAATAATCAGCAATTTTCATTCACCTGCAGGCTGTGACACTTGACATAATACTTTGAAAGGATTTGACAACACAGGGTACAGATTCTTCACTCCTTCTGTAAGCAGTCTGTGGTAATCAGGCATCTGCCTATGGGAGCATTGTGGTTTCTGACTACAGTTATAAATTCAGATCAGAATATGCTTTACAAGTAACATATAATTTTCTAGTCTATAAGGCTGCTCTCACCAAGAGCCTGATAGTACAGCATTTAACAATGAACATACGTGATAGCAGTCTGAGCAGAAAGTTATTTCAGAGAAGATTGGAAGTTCTGAAGTGTAAGGAACTGACAGATTGCTCTCTGAGCTCAAGTAAAACATTGCATTATGATGTGTGATATACTTTGGTTCTTTGTGAAGGGCACTTTATGGCTCAAATTTAGTGTTGTTTTTCCACCACTCTGTAACCTTCTATATTTTTTTCCTCTTAAGTAACAAAGCAACAAGTTGATCAGAAACTCTATGCAAATACTTTTAACTCACTTTTCTCACACATCAGACAGATGTTTTGAAATGCAAACCAGAAAGCTCTCATTTTCACTCAAAGGCTGGGGAAAATCCTGATATTTTTAAGCCAACCAACAAGGAGAGCCAAAACTTTTGGACTGACTCCCTTTTACCAACAGCTCTACAGAAGAGATGGTAGCTTTACTTCCTAGTATGCTAAAAAAGTAAATGGTTTAATTGTGATATTAAGTGAAAAAGAGAAAGCATCAAGTGAAAGCAACTGAAATGCAACCAAATCTGTAGACTTCTATCTTGTTTGGAAGGAGAAATTCTCCCAAGTACCAGTTAAAAATTAGATTTCTTTGGTCACTTTGTAAGGTACAGTCATTTTTGGATGAAGAAACAACATTTTAGACAATGCAGCAACCTGCTTCCTGTACTGAGGTTAGTTTTACAATAGATTGCTAAAGCAAGGAGATCAAAATACTAGTTTCCAAAAATACTATACCTTTGCCGTGAACACATAAAAGGGAAAAGAACCAAATTTGCTTTAGTCAACCTACCCATACAGTGATTACCCTGGATTGATTTAGAAGACCAGATAAAGAAAAGCCAAATCCCTCTTGTGACTACAATTACACACATTTAAGGATTAGAGGAACAATTTTGTATGGGTGTGTTTTAAGTTCCCCCATGTTATGGTTGCTCCCTCTCCCCCTCTTTACGTTAAATGGTATGTCCCTCCTTCTCCTCGTCATCTTTCGCCTGTCAGTCTTCCCTCTCCCCACCCCTAATGGGTAACTTTGTGCTGAATCATTCCCCTGACCCCACCCTGGGGCTTGTCTGTCACCCTGAGGCCTCTCCCTTCTATCCAGAACCTTCCAGCCAGGGCCTCAGGTGATAGGCTGATCCCCGGGGACCCCTCCTTCCCTCTCACCTCGTTGGACACCTCCCTTGATTATCATTCCCTTCACCACTCCCTGGTTATTCCCTCTTGGTCCCCTGTTGTTCCCTCCCCGTGTTGCCACCCCCTGTTATATTCCCCTGCAAGTTGTACCCAGATGCCTTTTGGGGCATACCCATTCAGGCTGAGGTTGGTCTCTCAGACTACCAATAAACTTGGAGCAGCAGTACCCTCAGAAGGACGACTCCCTTGTCCTTGTCATTGTCGCCTAAGGTCCTTTACTGGTCTGGCCGAACAGAACTCGCAGGTCACACCCCTCACCCGTAGTGGTCATAGGGGGTGGCCTTCGTTGTCAAGCGTGCCAAACAACTGAGCTGGCCGCAGACCAAAGGAGGCACCGTGACATATGTATACTTCATTAGTCATTAAGATCAACACAATTCAACATAATTATCCATTTCATGATGAGGTGCACGCCACACATATACCTCACAAGGATGGGCCAATTTCTCACTTTGCTAAATGGACAGTAGTTAATGTGATCTAGACAAAAATATAAAAATTGGAACTTAAACTTACAGAAGAACACGCCAAGTTTTAAAATCAAAGTCCAGCTTATTAGAAAAAATAAATCACACAGAGGATTCACAGATATCCAGACGTCCACAAGATACACACTTCTGCCAAGTGTAATTCACCTATGTATATTCTAATTTTAGTGAAAGACTGGTTTTAAAGGTTTTGTTGTTTTTTTTTTTTAAAGTTTAGTACTTACTTAATGGCTTCACACATGTCCAGTCCCATTTTCACACAATTCTTGGCATGATTTTGAAGAGATATAGGTAATCCAGAAACACAGTAATAGCAGTCACCTAAGATCTTAATTCTCATACATTCATTTTCCTAGAGGAAAAAAAAGCAAATTGAGACAATGACTTTCAATTTGAAATACATAAATGAAGTGTTACTGTTGCAAAGACTAATTTAAATAACATTAGGAAAGTCCTTCTACTAAAGCTTGTTTCAGTAGAGAAGGGCTTGCTACAACAGAAATGCTGAGAGTTTTGTATGGTTGATCCCTCCACCAGTTATGGTCCTTAATGGGCAAAAGCAGGAAGTAATTTCACTGCAAAACATATTCACACCTGAGAGTAAAGCTAAACTATCATGTCCTCAATCTAAATAAAGCCTTTTTGTTTGAAATATGAAATCAAAAGATGTAATCTTCCACATTTATGTCTATTAAGTTCTACTATGGAATGCTTCCAGAAGCTAGCAATCATAATAGAATTTCTATATTTTATACTCTAAGATCATGTAAAGATTTTTATTTTTTTTAAACTGAAATTTAATTTTAATTCAATGTAATTTTTAAAATACTTGACGATAGTTTTTCAACAATAAAAACACAGGAAACTTTTATTTGTTCTGAGGTTTCTGATTTTACCTTCACACATGAAGTTTCACTTAATTTTTATAAAAATTACACCTAAATAAGCAGAATAAAAAATTCTGATTGTATTTGATTCTTTTCTGGAGTAATAAAGAGCCTGTGGCCAGTAATTAAAATTGATTCAATCAATATTGTCTCTCTTCTCCTTCAGTATCACAAATGCTTTTTTTGAGACCAGAAAACTGACTAATACTTTTCTATCTTGAGTATCGTAATCCTTGATATTGCAAAGAATCTATTTAAAGAAGTGTTCATCTGCCATTAAGCCTTACTGGGCTCCATGAGCTGTCCCTATTGGTCCTATTAGAGAACTATCTTGAGTTTCACAGACTGTCACTCTGGCAGAAATGCACTGTTGCACTCAGACCTGAGCCAAATCGTTTTCTTCACACGTTTTAAATCCAATCTTCTTACCAAAGTCTCAGATGTGCTGCATGAAGACCCCAAGAGGAAAAAAAAAAAAAAACCAAAAACATTTTAACGATGACTTTCTTATTCAAACTAACAGCAGCAGCCCATAGCAACCCACCTTGGCAATCTGATCAAACTTGCCAAAGAGCTCATTTAACATGTGCACCAGCTCCCCTGGCGAGCAGTCACTGGCCAGGCGAGTGAATCCCACGATGTCAGCGTACAAGATGCTGCAACAGAAAGGAACAGGATTTCGGTCACAGATTCCTTCTGCTGCACTCAGATCCATCAGCCAGCAGCAAAACCTGAAAGCAAGGGCCCTGGACTTCACAGGGATATGCCCACACACAAAAAAGCCATTACTAAATGTAGAGCAATAAATATAACTACGTCTATAGGTTAACGTATATTTACCTTTATGGGTGTTGTGTTCATAGGTAATATATACCTATATGTACCTTTATAGGTATTACCTCCTCAGGTATAACATTTATAGGCATGCCTATATTTATAGGTATTTATAAACATTCTATACCTCTATCTCTTACAGGATTGAAAAAATAGAAATATTTTCCTAAAGTCACAAATCATCAGTATAATAATAGCAATATAATAGTTTCAAAGAGTATTTGTGTTCACAAGAGAACATAAGCTTCCTCAAAATTCCTGCAACATTTTTAATAAATCAGTTTCTAAGAATATCATTCAAATTAACTTGTCCAATAAAATAAAAAAACAAACAAAAGAAACAAACAAAAAACCCAAACAAAAACAAGAAAAAGAACCTTGTTAAGAAGAAAGAATGTTTGAAATGAAAGTGATTTATTTTTTCAGCTACTAGAAATTTTTAAATAATAAATAATTAGCTCTGTCAGCAGAATATTTTATCTCAGGTACTGTGTAAAATACATACGTGATACAGCTGCTTCTGTTTACATGATACAAATCCTGAGAAATTGTTCTAATTAAGAAAATTGCAATAGCTGAATCATACCACTGACATGAATTATAATTTTGACTAGCATACACAGAAGCAGGATTTAGTACTTCAATCTGAAAAATGAAGACATTATGAAAAAAAGCCTATTATTGTGTGGCTTTTTCTCAAAAACTGGTTTGTATTAACACCTCTGTGGCTCTGCTGGAATGTAGCATTTTCAGCATTTGATCAACTTAAGAGGTGCTACATATTAAATTGCTGAAAAGCATGTTTAAACAAATATTTTCTTAATTCCTCCCTTAACCCTTTCTTTCTTTTTTTTTTTTCCCTGAATGTTGTTGATACATTTTATTACAGTACAATACCTTACATTGGTGTGCCTTTTGACATACAAATTATGGAAGTTGTTGGTGTTTTCCAGCTGGCCTGCCTTTGGTCCTTGTAACCTCTGAATGATCTCTGCTTTCATTTCCATGGCAATGTGAGCAGGCAGTAAAGAAAGTAGAAGACGCTCCTAAAATTTAAAATAAAATCCACAGTTTTTTTAAGGCGAATAAATTCAGTATGGCATCAATACTGTGCAAGGCACACCCGATTGTCAATACCACAGAACATTTTGATGAGGCTTGCACTCAGGCCTGGTAGGAGCTCCAAAGTTAATCAGCACCTTGAGGAATGTGACAGAGACATACACACATTTCCAAGTAACACCTGCCTTCTTCAAGGTTTTGTGTATATTAGAAAATGCTTAAGATAAGCTTAACATTTGGTGATGTTATCCACAGGAATCTATTCAATATCTGAACAGGATGCAGCAAATGAAACAAGAATCACAAGGCCAGTTCAGGGGACTTTCATGGAAATGCAGTCTGGTTCAAGCAGAAATAAGCAACATCTTTCTTTTTTTTCTTTCATGTATTTTAAATGTTCTGCCATAATTTTAGCAGTTAGACTGAAAATAAAATACAGACACAGAATATGCTGAAAATGCTGAACTTATGCAAAGCATTTTGATAGGTACTCTCTCCTTTAATATGGCATTTGATGATTTCTTTTCTAATTAACCTAAACACATATGGAATACTAAAAAAACCCAAACCCTACATATTTTCTTTCATCATTTGGTATTAGGTCTTCCTCTTCATTTGATATTACGGTCCTCCTCTTCTAAAGCTCTCTGACAATTCCATTTTGCCTATTTCACCTGTGACAGCTTTAGACTGATTTCCTACTTCTCTGGAAACCAGGACAACAAGAACTCTGAAAAAAAAAAAAATCCTTCTTGCTTTATCATATTCCATCTTGAAAGCAAACAAGAATTTCCCATTTTCTCATAGGCAGACAGAGAGACTCCATCAGGCTAAGGATGAAAACCAGAAGCCTGAACCAGTGAAGAGAGGGAAGGCATCTGAAAAAGCCCCTGAAAGAGTAAGAGAGAGAAACAGCTACACCAGAAAAGATGCTGACCTCAAAATGTGTTGCATGATTCTCAGGTGTTACTCAGAATGATGCATGCTCTTTGGTTTAAAAAAATATTTTTGCAGACTTTGCAGTTCTGTTCATGAAGGTACCAGAAGAAGTGTAGCCATTAATCCAATCCTCTGCCTGGGATAATTACTCCTGTTCAGGTCTGATGACCTTGAGCAGAGCAAGGCAATAACAGGGCTATAGACTCCTCTAATATTTGCAGCAACCTTGGCTATCTATCTCTGTCAAGTATAGTGATAAATTCACATTCCTCATAGCATTTGTGCACTTGTAAGCATAGCATTCAGTTACATGAGGCCCTGTGAAACTGATCCTGCTCATATTTGGCAAAAAACTTCTACTGCAGTGAATCAAGACAGAATCTTGCTTTGCTGCTAATTAATATTGAACTAATAATTTATTTCTTAAATGCAAGATTAATTTAGTATGTTTAGGCATTTTAGCAAGTTCACATCCAAGAGACTGGGGTATTTTCATTGCTTTTGTTCACTGGCAGTGTTTCACTTCCACTGCTCCCTGGTGGAGATATTTTGCTAACTTGTAAATAATATCCTACAACAAATTTTTTTCCATAATGAAAACCTATTCTTCCAGGTTGCTCTTTATCTAACAGTACAGGATTGTTCAGACTTGTTAACAACTGTAATTACACTGTTAATGAAGAGGTGAGTGATCTTAGCTACAATTTTACATCACTCTACTAGTTTTATGCCATGGACTGTAAATGCAAGCTGGTTCACTATCTGCCTTTGACTGTTATGATTCCAGACACACAGTGATCAATGTCTCTGCTTGACTGATCTCTGGACATAGTGACACTCAATGTCTAGGTTACTGCTTACATCTTTGAAACTCAGAAAGGATGGTAAAAGGTCATAAAGCAACAAATGTTTTCAAGGAAGCAAGCAAAAATCCCAGAGAAAAAGTTTTCATAGAAAGCAGCATAAAGTCAATTACAAGCTGAAGAATCATATGAGGAAAACAGAATGCCCTCATTCTGTAGGGAAAGTCAGGAGAGATGGAATATTTCCCCTTTTTTTTTCTCTTCAGGCCAGCCCACTATTCCATTCTGCTTAAACATCCTGATGAAGCTATTCACCACACCAGAATTCCCTCCAAAGAATGTTTTTCTTCCTCCATTTTCACTGTACAAAAGAGAAGGTTGCAACCAGAGGTTGCTTTAGAGAATTGCAATTGGTGAAGCACGCAGTAGAACACCTTGCCATACCCTTCAGGTACACATACAGCCTTCAGCCACCCTCTCCATCCTTCAGGCTGCAAGCATTCACACTTCAGTCCTGACGTTATCCCATGTGATAATGTGGATTGTTCATTTTAATTTCTTTCACTAAAAGACAGATGTGAAAGAAGGTGAATCTCAACTACTGATGAACACTGTGGCTGGGATGGTTACCTGAAGATCCTAAGAAATGCAAAGCACATGAGAACACCTCTTCCTTCCTGTTTTGTCATTGCTGTTGGCTCAAAAGAGCATAGTGCAAAGATCAAAACCACTTACTGATCAGCTTGTAGTGCATGATGTTCTGCACTGAAACTCCTGCAGACTGGAACAATGCAAAGAACACCACAAATCAAGACTGCTGCTTATGCTGGCTTTATATTTTGTAATATATTCTATTCTGTACTATTGTCACAAATAGAGAGAAAATCTAAACATCAAAAACTAGTTGAACTGAGATAACAAGACACTGACTTTTAGACAAAAATCTTCTTTATTTGTAGTAGACAGAGAAGCCACTCTAAGAGTGACAGTCTGTAAGAAAAAAACTGAAATAATTCTGAATGCAGGTCAAGAGGTACCATTTAAAAGTCTTCAGACTGAAAATACCTGCTTTAGGTGAAAGAGAAACTGCTGTGCTATGACAGTAATGAAAATCTCCTCACAAATGCCCTTCCCTAGAATACTAATATCATGACCATAACAACTTATACAGGGGATTTATGCACACAAGACTGCTTCCTGACTTATTCCCTGGGACTATGCTTTTCTCTCAACCATTCAAGTCACTTCCAGCTGATACCTTTCAAGTCCTAGGGCTAAAAGATGGAGCCCACTACCTATACTGAATACAACATTAAAGTGCCTTTCAATACTATAGGTTAACTACTTCTCCACCTGGACCCCACTAGAAGGATAGCAAGCAGGCAACCTCCCTGGGTTTTCCAGCTGAAGATTGTCTGTGGTATATGTCAAACTGTTATTTGAGTTCCTGTCTTCTCAATCTCCCATATTCAAGTTGATCTCTTTGTCAGATTTTTTCCTGAAACATACAGATAACTTTAGCAGTTATTCTTAGTTACACATCACTCCTCTTAAAGCTTGATAAATGCTGGTTGCTTTCTTAGCTAGAATAAGTTGGCACAGCTCAGTTAAAGAACAGAGCATTGTGCTGTTTTCTGCAAGGTGGCAGCTGCATGTATCTCTCAAAACATCATGCAACAGCATGTTCTGCAGCAAACAAGCACAATATCCTCAAACACTAGGTACAGGTTATTTTCAAGAGTGAATGTTTCACAAATCAACCTCTTCTTGGCCTGAGGCAATAATGCTTTATTTATTTGCTAATTCCTATTTTGTTATGCAAACTACCAATACTGATTCACTCATTTGTACAAGATTACACCATGATCAATGCTTTACTGAGCATAAATGGAAGCATTTATAGATTTAAAGGCCAAATATTCTTTCACCTAGTCTGATCTCTTGAATAATATTGCTAAACGATGTCACTAAGGAAAAATAAAGGTAGTCTGATAGCACTCACCCTATTAAAATCAACTTTGTGCCTTGCTGTCAATGGAAAGAAACTGTCCTTCAAGGCAGTTCACAGAATCTAATACTGAAATTCTGAGGTAGCAATGTTCTCTCACTCTCTCTCTGTTGTCTAGAGAGAGAACTGGAGGTCCAAATTTTGGTCTTACTGGAAGAAATGTCCATCTTTGTTCTTAAGCTTTTTCTGATATTCAAGAAGTCTGCAGAAAAACTATATATTTGTAGATCAGTAAAGGACTGTAGGAATATTTTTGTCCTTATAATCCCATATAGGGATACTTTTGTCCCTTCCAATGTCATTTAGGGCACTGAATATTGAATTCTGCTTTTCTGTGGATTGGATTTTGTTTTCAGACTCCTGTGGCATATATCTAATTATCTGTTTAGCGAGTTTGACAAAACACGTCAGTAAGTCAGTAGTAAGAGCTCCAGAAGCAATTAACCTATGCACACATCCTGCTCCACTATAAAGTTAAGACATAAACACAAATAATATCAAATTTTAAGCTGCCCTTGAAATGTATAAACCTAAAATAAATTAATTTTCTGATTCCTGATCACAAAATGATGGAACAGTAAAGAGTTGATAGAGATGGTCATCCAGAGGGTATTTGTCAAAGTACTGTTAACCCAGACATCATGATCATCCTCTAAAACACACCTAAAAGAATAAAAAATTGAAAATTGTTTTTACTTAATGTTAACATGGACTTCTGAGAGATTTGAAGAGTCCTAAAAATTACGTGCTATTATCGCCTTAAATTTAGCCCATGTTAATAACCTCCATCAACCTCATTACTTTGGCTGAAGCCAAGAAATTGATTTTACATATACACAACAAGAAAGGTATTCAATCTTGTCTACAGAGACATTGAGAGATGGAGAATTCACCAACTTCTAGTAGTTAACCACCTGAACTGTTAAAAACTGTTAAAAATGTGTTCTGTATTTCTAACTTTGAAACCTTGGACCTGTTATATCTTTCTCAGCTCAACATTAATTTCCTTACTCTTATTCCTGTAAACACAGATAACTCTCTTTTTGATCAGGTAAACAGGTGCAAAAATCTCCTCCTCCTAAGTATTTTCTACACTGTCTTCTCAAAACCCTCAACAACCTTCAAGAATTCTTAAGGGTTTCTCAACACAAATCCTAACATTTTGCTCCAGTGAACAACGACATGCATACATTTGTTTCCCTCAGTATGCCCATGACTTACTCTGTGCAACCTT